GATGCCTAACAATTTTGGTTGACTTAATAAAATCATTCTCACTTAATTTTAATTCGTCCTTGATATTCTGACGGTATAAAGCTGTTAGGAAGGCACGATCTTCCATAGAACCGGGTACGTCTTTTACAATTATACGGGGCCTACGGCCTTTCGGTTTTTCTAAGCGCAACCCTACTGATTTAATGGCGTCCACTGATTCCAGTTTCTTAAGCTGCCGTTCGTTAGCTACACGTAACACGACGCCTGCCTTAGAGGTTTTTTTAACGCCTACAATTTGAAATCCCTCATCGCTCGGTTTAATAGCCTTCATGAGAGCTTGTTTCGTTGCTGACGAGGTCGCATAGTCCGCTAAGCGTTCCGTAGTGGGATAGGCAATAACACAAGGCCTAGGAACGCGCGCTTCAGTAGGTACCGGGCACGGAGCAGATTTAGGTGGTAATCGAAGCTTAAGTTTGTCCGCGTACGTTAAACTCGTTTGTTGAGTTGCGATACCCTCCATTTGTCGCTCAAAATTCGCTAACTTCGTTTCGTTGCTAGAGGATTTTATTGCTAACAAAGATACGATACCGGTAATTCGTTGAGTAATATCCATAATTGCCGTTTTAATACCTACATTCATCCGAGATCCCTGATCATTAACTAATTCATTGATTTTTGCCAAGTACTCGGTAGCCTGTGAGACTAACTCGCAGTAATTGTATTCCCCACAGTTATCACGACCGTTAAGAGACGAAACATTTCCACTTAAATCCGAATTATTAATTCGATTACTTCTATTGTCTTTCGGCGAGAAATCCGTAGGTGACATTTCGTTAAATGTCCTTTTCCCGGTTGGTGTTAGAAATTCACTTGTACCGCCGGGGTCCGGCAACTCGCTAACGACCGACATAGCCAAACAAAGACACACCAAACAACAATTTCAAAAGGAACAAGTTTAAAAATAAACAATACGCAGAGAAAAATCAATATAAACAAAGGATACCTCCTACCCACTTTTAGAAAGAAAATAAATTTACTCACCAATAGTCGTAATAAAATAATTCAGCACTATATTTCTGTTTAAAAAACAATAAAAACTTACTGATATTCTTTAAAACACTATACACAACCTTTAGCCGCCCGCAAACCGGGAACTAGTCGCAGAAAAACACAGAAAACAATATTTAAATTGTTAGCATATGAAGTCACACGTTAGTCGCACAGTGCCGCCGAAGGGAAGTGCAGGGAAGATTTTTGATACTAGCAGATCTTGGTGTAACAGGTGTAGATGGTGATACAGGGGCAACAGCAGCCACCACAGCAACCTTCACAGCATCCACCGCGCACCCAACACATTAAAATAAATAAATGAATAATCAAACCATTTTATTTATAATACAGAATCCCAAAGGTAGATAATAGAATAACAGCGTACTGCTAATGACTGTCCATAGATTATAATTATGAGGTATGAAATGCAGTTTTAAAAAAAATCTTCACATTAATATTAAAAATCATTCTCACCTTTATTGCATCTGTCGATGGTGAATGTTTAAATGATGCAATATAAACAGTAATACGCCACTTTCAGATTGTATCAAGATTTAATTTTATGGAAGAAAAACAGAAAAAGTTTCATCGGGCGCTTGGCAATATGCCTGAAGGTTTATTAGTGGTTTTGTGTCCTGTACTATTCAAACTAATTAAGTACTAATTAAGTCAAACTTCATCAGTAAAACATCATTTCAAATTACATATAATTTAAAAAAAAAATCTTCAGTCAGGACTTTTCAATTATTCAAATGAGTTCACAAGAGACGATGGTCATTCTTTTTTTGGATTTTGTAACATGTGACTTTGATGAATTGCAAATTATGTTTTACTATCTGTTATTTTGGTTTGTTCATATTTAATTAAAATATTTCTTGTATTGATCTTACATAGAGTGTTTAATTAGAATTCTAAAAAATAATACCTCAGCCTCTTCAGTCGTAACAATATTCATCGAATGTCGAATATAATTTCTTATTTTAAAATACGACGGCCACAATCGCAACTTATCATAAAACTTACATTTAGGATTACCAATCCTGAATGTAAGTTTTATGATAAGTTTTTGTTTTTTAAATTGTAAAACCTAGATATTTCAAAGAACTCGTTTGAAATATCTTGGTTTCATGAAGTTTAAAATGCAGTCGTGAAATAGTTACGGCACGTGGCTTATGTCATCAATTAACGCTTAACAAGTGAGATAAACAGTCCAGAACACTGTTATACCAACATTCGTTTCATTTACATAAATTTAATTACATATCGTTAGATTTAAATGATACCTACAGAACAATAAACATGTTAAAGTTTATATACTGTTCAATTATTTATGTGGGACAGATAAAACAGAATTATCATTGTCATATTTAAAAAAAATCTCTTTTACGAGTTATACAATCTGTAAGCGGATCACTAATAATATTAACGACTACAAACATTGCTTGTGCACTCATAAATTCTATAATCGAAGAGTAGTACAGTTACCGACATAAGTTGCTTGAAAATCAAATTTAATTTAGTCCTCCTCTCCTCCTCCTCTACTTCTCGTTGTAAAAAAGTATATATTTTAGATAAAAAATATTTACTAATCTTTTAGCACATCATAATGTTTCCCTAATAATGCCACAGCGCTAGAAACACTTTTGAAACGCGTTTTAATATCCTACTTTGAACCGATAAAGAAGTGATAGTATGGTATGCTTTAAACGTAACAGAATACAAACTGTAATTAATTTGCATAATCTAGTTATTTAGAGAATGGATAGAAACAAAATCACGTGTTTCTAGTACAAACCCGTGAGAATAAACACCTAAACAAGGCTTATTGTTCTTTTAAAGTAAACATCTCTATGATCGGGGTTATTTCCGTTATTCTGAGGGGTATTTTTCATTTTACAGTAGGTTGTTGATGAGATGCGAATATACAAGCTATATAGTGGGCCAAAACCCCCTTTCTATGAGGAGCCTATGGCCAGCATTGGACTGTGCAGTCTAGTGGCAAACAAGCTAACTTATTAATAAATGGATGGCCATTCAACTATTCATAACAGATTATAATAATAATAATAATATTGTACCACATTTACACAACGCCATCTAGTCCCTAACTAAGTAAAGCTTGTACTATAGGTACTAGACAATTGATATAAATACATATATACTTTTTTTTCAGACCAAACGACCTTTGGAATAGCAGTCTGGTATACGAGTACAAACCACAACGCCATCCGGTCGTCCAACTTATATAACTAATAAATAAATTTTGTAGGAATCCTATGTCTTGTTCTATAAACTATCTTCTTCTAGAAGAAGATAGTTTCGAAATTCTTCTAGAAAACATAGGATTAAGATATAAAACAATCGAATGGAACCGTTCTCGGAATTATATTAGTGCTCTGACCAAAACCTTAAACTTAGACTTAAATTTCTAAAGCTGCATTTCCTGACAAAGTTCATTTCTTCTATACCGGTACATGTTCCAAAGTTCCTCTTCCCTTACTTAAAGAAATTAAAGGTACGTTTCGGTCGGTTATTCCCAGTCGTCACCACTGACTTCGTTCGCACTGGTGATAAATGAAAAAAAACTATATGTTGCCAGAAGTGACAAGTGGCATAAAATTTTCATTGATGCTTGGCTCCTATTGGTGGTAGCGTGATATTATATAGCCCACAGCCTTCGCCGATAAACGGGTTGTTCAAAAATACTCGCAAAAAAAGAATATTATAATTCGAACGAGTACCTACCTAGTTCCTGAGATAGCGCTTCAACCAAACAAACAAACTTCTTCAACATTATAATCTTATATATAAAATTCTCGTGTCACAATGTTCGTTCCCGTACTCCTCCGAAACGGCTTAACCGATTCTCATGAAATTTTGTGTGCACATCGGGTAGGTCTGAGAATCGGCCAACATCTATTTTTCATACAACTAAATGGTAAGGGTGACCCATCCCTATTTTTCTTTTGTTTTGCAATACAACGTTTGCCTTGTCAGCTAGTATTAGTATAGATTTCTCAATTCTGTCTTTAGATTTAAATAGTACCCTTTTTTTTAGATAAAGTACCCTCATTAACTTTTAGTATCCGTGAAAAGTGTTTATTAAAATTGTACGATGGTAAAATTGAAGGCATGAAAATGTTATAAAAAAAACCAGAAAAACAAAGTCACATTCACATCAATAATACTACTAGTAATTGTGTTTGTTACTGTGTGTGCTACTCAAAGTTCAATTTATTTTTCAATCCCTTAGTAATAGAACTCTTTTCTAGATAACTCTATCTCCTTACCTGCATCCTTGGCAAAATGCAAAATTTTGGAGAGTTTACACGTGAATGCGTTACAGATATGAGAGATGTAGTAACTTTCGAGGATTGTATCGATCTTATCGTTTATTTCATTAATTTACATCAATAAAAGCAGCAATCGCATAAATTCCTCCTGCATCTCAAAGTCAACACTAAAATATCAAATGTAATATGAGACAGACCGGTTCTCTTAAACATTTGCGTAACATACTTTTTATTATCCTTGAAGGAACATCTTTGATCATAACATGTATCTAAGCAGCAATAATAATTGATTGTAATGGACCCAACAGAGCTTTAAAGTATAAGTAGAACGCATTGTGATATGTAAATAATAGTGAACAATAAAATTTCATGTTCATATCGTTAATCAATAATTAAGGTCGATACCAATTTCAATGAAATCTATATAGTTTAAAAAATCGACTAATACAGGCAACAATATCCGAATTAGAACATTTAACTGCTCCAGTTTAAAATTGGAATGCAAGATTATAACTGCAGGTTACAATTAATACATGCCATTATCGGACCCAGGCGTTCACCCTTCTTTGGCCGTATCTTACCGCCGTTCAAAAGTGGGAGGGACGCTATATAACATGATGGTAACATAGTCCAACCACACAACCAGTCTTCGGCGAACGAACGAAGACACGCAGCAACATGAAGTTATTGGTGAGTTTATACAAATAGTGAAGTGAAGTGTTTGTGCCAAAAAGTGTCAGAAAAAAATATTTTTACATTCGAGTTTTGAAAAGAAAAGTGCGACCGGTTCAAAAGATATAGTTATATTTTTGAATTCAAAACATAGCTGGTTTAGATATTAGAAAACCAAAAACAATTTATCGAATGACGAATCGACTAATATCGTCCTGTGGTAACCAAATTTAAAACATAAAAGGATGAAAATACTAACTGCATCAAAAATCGTACATAAAAAATGGAGTCCTAGTCTATGATTCCTAAATATTTGATTTAAATTACAATTAGTGCTCCTATAAAATAAAAAATGTACGAAATTGCAATTTAAATTATAAGCATCACTTTATTTCAATTACTAATTAATTGTCTTTAAACACATCTTATACAGTCCATTTCATCAACGACAAATACTAAAAAATCTCTTAAAGTTAGATTAAAACATTAATTTTTTAATAAGGAATAACGTTTAATTTACAGTAATTATTATATCATAATTTCTATAAACTACAGCACGAAAGTAAAACCGAGACGTACATGGATAATGTCCAAAGAAACCAAGCGCATTAACTTAACTTCCGTAACTAATTACGTCAAGTGCATAACATTAGTTGAACGTATATAATATAATTTTCTTCCTCATAGAACCAGCTTTGCGCAATTTTCATTTTACTTTCCAACAAAAACTAGAAAGTTTCAAAAATTATATGTTGAGAGATACGCTTTATAGATACAAATTGCTGACACTCAAAACCGTTAGATTGCCTATAAATCGAACCTGCTATGAGTTAAATTCTCGCAGTCCCGCTATTCCTATAGATTTTAATATATGCCCAACATATATATAACAGATTTTATGTTACTCAGCAAATTAGGCCAGAAGTTGTCCTGTTAACATTTCAGCCAATTTGTTTTAATAGTATAGAAAAAACACTTTTCCTCACATACTAGGAAACTATTTAATGATTCTCTATTTTTTTCTATATATTCGTATTCGAACCATCTTGATGAAACAGTTTTGCGAACTTTGCCAAAACATTACTTATAAGATATAGTACTAATATATTGCTTACTGTTTACATTTGTATCTTAACAAATTTCAATGATCCAATAATCCCTTGAAAACCAGTAAAAAAAGATATTTCCATTTGTAGGTATGGTGAAAAATCTAAAAATATGTACTAGAGAAATTTAGGATAAATATGCAAATCATGGTAATGGTAACGGTAATCTCAGTAATATCACTTGTAAACGGGAGGGTTATGAAATGAGAACGACGTCGTGTCGCGAAGTCTTCCGTGTTTAAGTTTAACTGACCATTTAGAAAATCGCCTAGCTATCGCCTATCTCATGTGGCTTTCGCTCGAGTCTCATCTAGCGTAATAATTATTTTATTTATCCTTGGGAAATAGTACTATAGTCTTATTGTACAAAATTTACCCTGTTTCCGTTTCTGTTCTCCTGGCAATGTGTATGCAAAATTTCATTATGATCGGTTCAGGAATTACGACGTGAAAGCAAACACACATAAACAAGCTCGCTTTCGCCTTTTTGATATTAGATCGCATTATTAAAATTTAAGCGTTTGTATTCACTTTAAAAATATTTTTAATTATGTAGTTTCATAAAATCTGAACTGTTACTATGATAACAATAACAGTTACTAAATGAGTAAAATAATTATTATAATTTGTCAAAACAGCAATCGTTTATCAAAACCACAAAGATAATTCAGTGTATTACATGATACCAACCTAACTAATGAAATAGAATGAGTCCTATTTCGATGTCTTTTAGATTAAGAAACCGTAATTTAAGGTTTAATAGATTCACACAGTAAATTGAAATATGACAGTGCACATCCCTGCTCTAATTTACAAGAGTAGTGCGTAACGCAGATAAATGGACTTATGGCATAAATAAATGTCACGCATCGCGCATGCGCGTCCCGCCAAAATCAAGCGCTGTAACGTTATGGAAGACGCGGATGCATCCGTTGATGATAATTTATAAGCTGCTTGCTTTATTACGTATAATAAACTACATTCTGTAGTTGTCTAATTAATAAATTTTCTCTTAATTTAAGTATGAAATATAAATACACTAAGATTAATTCGCTTGTTGTGTTTGACAATTAATGTTTCAATATCAATCAGTGCAGTCATCAGAGTCATTTGTCGTGAGGTAAATAAAAATGTAGATTTTGTCATATTTTTTAAATTGTAATGGCGCGTGAATTTACCTAATCTTTGATTGACATGTGGAAGAAAACTATAGGTACAACAACGTTAACATGAAAGCTAATTTCCTAAGGCCGTTTTATAAATTTACCTTTTATCATTTGTATTCAGGAAGGTGATCGTTTTCGCTATTCTCTATAATCTCACATGAGTTGGTGTGGTCTAAGCACGTGAACTGGTTTACGAAGAGCATTGACACTGGAAACTTGATCTGCGCAAGCGACATGTGCAGAATTATACGTTTACTCTTGATGCACGTTTTCATTTCACTATACCAGTGATAAATGAAAATAGCTCAAATTAACAAACCATTTGAACAATACTATTATAGTCCTTTATCATGTTAGTAAAAGCTAAGTGCAGATTCTGCAAGACCCATGATAATTCTGCCTAATGAGTACAATGTTTAATTTCAAAGCATACCGTCTAATTATATCTAACAATGTTCTGACTCTTTGTTTATTATAGTCAATAGTGTGAAATGTTTCGATCGAAATGCTAAAAAATCTAACAGCATTTTACTCTTGGGTATAATCTTTTCATTAAACCAAGAAGAAACTCACAAGAAGTTCACCTATGATCCAAAAACCTTAGTAGCATCAGTTACGTGTGAATCGGCCATACAACTTTCACTCACAATGTGTGTTGTAATTAATAACGGTTGATGCACAACGGGAGCACGACACTTCTTATTTACCTTGAAGACTCGTGATTGTATCGGAGCGAGCTAACATCAATCGAAATTTGTATCTTTCATCAAACCATTGTTTAGCACTAACTACAAAATTGAGTAGTAATAAGCATTGTTGAGCACAAACATGTATGCAGTATTCTAGAGCGGTTACTGCGTTGAGTATAAGCGTAGTTGAGTCATTAAAAATATTGAGCAGTTACGTGTGTTGTTTATTGGATATTGCACAATGAAGCCCTTGAGCTGTTTACCTTGCTAATTATCTATTTGTTTTATTTTTGTTGGAAGTAAAATTCTTAATTCTATTTACATAGTTTAATATATGTGTCTTAATAAAATGGTAAAAGGTACGTTTTGAATCTTGAACTTGAAGTGAATCTCGAACTATTATTTAAATGTATGTAGATAGTAAAATTAAATTTGGATAATAAAATAACCATTTTCACGGCGCGAGTAAGTAACGCAAATGATTTTGAGCCTAAATGCTGAACGCTAAAGAAACAAATCTATTAAATAATGTATTTATTAGGTTGCATACCGAGTATACAACATAATATTTTCTATTCAGTACTCTAACAACTTCATTTACTTTGCTCAAGTAACGCTGCAGTTAAACCATTACTCTGCACTAACGACTAAGGTTCATTTATAATTACATAATCATTTCCTGTAAGAGATGTGTAGTTACGGGGTACGAGTTTCTCTTGAATAGTTCGTTGATACTGGTGAAAACATTGATTAAGTCTATCATATCTAATTTTACTAGTAGTTTGTAGTAGTTTTTAGAGATTAAAATACTAAAAAAACTGTATTAATCGAATATTAGACAATATTACTATGCAAGAGCTTTACTAATGCTCAGTCGTATCTTTTTGTTAAACACACAATAGTTATTGAATTTGTAACATACGATTTGGTGGTAGTTTATGTTTATTGATTACTTAAATTTGTTTTTTTTTTTTAATCCAGCCATAGACATTCCTAAACGTTACAGCGTCTTGTAAACTCTAGTTCTATTAGGGCATAAAATATCTGGTATAATACGTACTTATAATACAATCGTTTAACAGAAATCTTATCATAATTAGGTGCAACAGATTCGATTCAACTGTTTATATAACGTAACTCATCTGTATTTAGATGATGAAAGTGAACTATTAGATGGCATGGTTATTTAAAAACATACTTTTTCTTATGTGTTACATAACTTCGTTTAGTATTCATCTTGGTTACATCGTGGACTTGTTTAAAATGCATCTGTAAACATCTTTATGTAAAACATGATGAGGTTGTAAATTTTATGGGCCAATTTTACGATGTCATAGTTTCTAATTTCATTATATATTCTTATATCATATAAGGTAATGCATACTAATAAAAACATTATGTCGGCATTGAATTTTCTATTTGTACATAAATTTTTAGTCACCATGCAATTGTTGAGGTGTTTTACTTTTTAAATACTACACACAGTGAACGCCTGCTTTTTTATGATAGAGGGGATTTTTGGCCTTTTAGTATGTTATGCAACATTAGCAAGGTCAGTAATATTATTTGCATTGATTTTGCTCATTTGTAGCCTTAAGTTAAACAATGTTTACAAAGCTTAAAATGTTACAAACTTGTTCTACGACTTTTAAGAGGTTCGTAATTTGTAATAATTAGTTGCCACGATTCAAGTATTTAGCTTGCTTAGATAGAAGATTCAACAAGCATATTAGTAACAAACGCACGTGCCTATTGTACTTAAAAACAAATTGGCAATCAATTTAGTATTACTTTTAATGTATATACGAGTATAATAAAGACTTCTTTAGTAACTATTCATAAACTTTAAGTGGATTTCATAACCTACATTTCGGTATCAGAAAGCAGTAAATGCATATACTTGTGGGATAATCTGGTTTATAATTTCAAAACTTATTATGATACAATAAACAAAAGTGCTATCGATATTATCTCCTAATTGTAGAGCGTTGCACAACGTGGTATAAGTCCATTTTGTTACATAAGTAATGTAATCGTAACCTTATAATATCTATGTCATTGTATTAAATGATTTAGATTTTTGTTTAATGAAAATTCACCTTTATTGCATACTTACTTACCTCTTTTAGAATAGAATAGAATAATCTTTGTACACCAGTTCAGTACATTATACATACAATGGTATTTCAAGTTAAGTTCTCTTACCTCTCTCTTACCTTAATTAATTAAAAAACAGATGATACAGTACGAAGTGTTATGTTATTAAAATTCGTTATAATTTATGTTCATTTATAATTAATGAAAAGATATCATAACACTTCAGTAGCATAATTAATTTTGGCAGTTTATTATACAGTTATGTAAGTTTCGTTTTGTTGTAGTCTTAACAATTTCAACTTATCAAGAATTCTAAGAGTAGAGGAATTAAAATATTTTACAATAAAGATAAACAAGGCTCTGAGTTCAGTTTCTTTTAAAATCGAGAGAAAGTGTGAATGTAGTATTCCGGATCGATATTGTTCTAAACTTGTTCGTCGTTTCAATACAATTTTTGTCTATCTTGTACGTATTTCCTGACTAGAATAACAGATTAATGGTAAATTTAGTCTCAGTCAGCGTTTTCTGGAGGTTGACTAAATATAATCTGACACGATGTGTCACTTATATTTCTTCATTCTAAACACATAATTGATTTTTTTTTGTTTTGATTGCACAAACAATAAACTCTTGTTAAAAACCTCACCAAATAAGGTTGTATTCTAAAAAACTACTTTGTTGACAGGTTGTATTGGTCGCATCGCTGGCCGTGGTGGCCTTTGCCAGTGAGGACAAAGCAGCACCAAAACAAGCCGCTGCCGAAGACAAGAAACAGGAGAAGAGAGGCATCTATGATATCGGACATTACGGCGGCGGTGGCGGTGGCGGCGGCGGTGGCGGTGACGGAGGATACGGTGGACATAGCTTCGGTGGCGAGGGAGGTTTTGGTGGACACAGCTTCGGCAACGAGGGTTTTGGTGGTCAAGGACATGAAGGACTAAGTTTCGGCGGACACGGCCATGAAGGCGGCGGTGAATACGGTGGACACTCCGAATTCGGCGGTAGCAACGGTGGCAGCAGCGGTGGCAGCAGCGGTGGCGGCTGGAAACCCATTTCCTCTGATGATGGACATCACCACCATCACCACCAGACACATCATCACCATGAGCACATTAAGACGATCGAGGTCGTTAAGAAGGTGCCCGTTCCCTACACTGTTGAGAAGCATGTCCCATATACCGTTGAGAAGAAAGTGCCTTATGAAGTCAAGGTGCACGTACCTCAGCCCTACACTGTTGAAAAGAGAGTTCCAGTCAATGTGAAGGAGTATGTCAAGTACCCTGTGCATGTTCCAGAACCTTACACCGTTGAGAAGAAGGTACCTTATGAAGTCAAGGTTTACGTTGACAAGCCCTACGAAGTCAAGGTTAAGGTGCCCACTCCTTATACCGTCGAAAAGAAGGTTCCCTATGAAGTCAAGGTCCACGTTCCTCAGCCCTACACTGTCGAAAAGAAGGTCCCAGTCCCCGTCAAATACGAAGTCAAAGTACCTCAGCCCTATGAAGTCATCAAGAAAGTGCCTTATGAAGTGAAGGTCCCAGTTGACAAGCCTTACAACGTATACGTACCTAAGCCCTACCCAGTGCATGTTGAGAAGCCCTACCCCGTGACCGTTCACAAGCCAGTCCCATACGAAGTCAAGGTCCCAGTCGACAAGCCCTACAAGGTTGAGGTAGAGAAGCCTTACCCCGTCCATATTAAGGTTCCAGTTCCGAAACCTTATGACGTGTACAAGAAGGTCCCTTACACCGTTGAGAAGAAAGTGCCTTATGAAGTGAAAGTCCCTATTGACAAGCCCTACCCCGTGTACAAGGAAGTCAAAGTTCCCGTGGTCAAGGAAGTTCCTTATCCCGTGAAGGTGCACGTTCCTATCTATCTTAAGAAACACGAGGAACACCATCACGGTCATCACGGTCACGAAGAGCAACATCACGGTTGGCATTAAGCTCAGTTAGTTTAGGTCTCACATCAGTACCTTGTAGGCTAAGTTCAGAAATGTGATCATTTAGTATTTTTAGTGTATATATGTATGTATCTTCTATATTTTATGATTGTTTTGGTGCTGTTCAGTTCATATTGTTGTGTTCTCGGAATAGCAACCAAACTTGCAAGAGTGGGAAATTTATAAACTACGAGTTTGAAGCTATATAAAACTGTAAACGAAATATCGATATCTTTATTGCTATGATTTATGCCGACGACCAAAATATTCAAAACTGTTGAAAACCGTTTGAGTGCCGCATAGCATCTGCTGAATTACAGATGCGCGGATAACTGTAGATACTAATCTGTTATTAATTGTTAAGCTTTATATGCTTTGTTATACTATACTTGACAAAGTGCTAGTACTTTGAGTTGAGGCTGATTTAATAAAAATAAATGTAAAATATATCCTTGTTTTGCTGTTATTTATCCTATACATTGAATTTTAACGCATCAAACTTTTGATTTAACCTTTCTATTCGATTAGGTACGATTTCGAGCGAGCGAGCTTTCACTATCATCATCATCAACAGCCTTTAATAGTCCACTGCTGGACATAGGCCTCTCCTTAGAAAGGAGGCTTTGGCCTACTATACCACGCTGGCCAGACGGGTTGGTGTAGGGTTTGTGTCAAGTTTTTCTTCTCTTTGCAGTGTTGTTGTGCTGCGTAGTTTACTCCCTTAGTCGGCTTTTACGACACCCACGGGATGAATAGGGTAATCACAATTTACTTTTATAGCACGCACACATATAACAATAAAATTTTGAAGTGGAACAATACTTCTAATTGCAAATTGTGCAACACAAATTGAAGTTCTCCATTGATTGGGAAACGACTTTGAAAGTGACAGTAATAATGAAAGCTAAACAATAAAACTAGACCAATAGAACAAGTAACACATCAAAATAATAGTGTATAAGAACACATAAAAAAAAATAGTAACACAGTATGACAGTGTGACATTACGATTTTATGTAATGTCACTTTGATGGTTTTAAGTTTTAATAGACAGCTTTTGATAGTCAAATGATTTTATAGGATTCTAATTATATATTAGTGTAAGTCAATATAATACAATACAAAAGTCTTTATTGCACATCGTAAACAAGTTTTTGATAATTAATAAAGATCGACTTATGGTACAAATAGCGAAGACTTGTCGATGGATTTGTGTGTAGAGTAAACGTAGGTCGTAGGTGCGGGATGCAGTCGCCATGGCCGAAAGCGGTCAGGGGGGATCACCATCATCAGCCCTAATTGTATATAACTATTGGGTAAATCATAGTATAAAAGTTACAGACACACAACTAGTCGTCGATTGAATCTTGCTTGCTTGGATACTTGAATGTTTAACAGAAAAAAAAAAATTAAGTTTAAAAATAAATTTAGAAAACCTACAACGAATAAATAAAAAGGCAGCAATGGCACAGTAATTGTTATCATGAAATGAATGATTTCGTAGTTGGCCATGAAAATCCAATGCAATATAATATATGTAATGGGTTTAATATTTTGTAATGAGTAACTCATGGTAATTGGGGCAGAAAAATCAGATATGATCGTTTTGCGCTGATGGTATTAAGGACGCAATGTACCTTATTTCAGTTAAAGTAATTGAAGTCGAGTGTTATTGAGTTATTAAACGTTTATTAATAAAAAAAAGTGTTGAATTTGTTTTAACGGCTTGCGTAATGATGTAGTATTATAATTCGTTTTTCTTTTGTCTGATAGGCTGATATACTGGTCTAAGGATTAGCAATTCTGACGGCTTAGCCAGAAGTCGCCAAAATAATGTTGTGTTGTATTTTGTGTTTGGATGTACTTTATAAGTAATACCCACGTATATATATCTATACATATATATACAAATTTATATATATGTATGTTTATCACCAGTCTGGTTACCATGGTACATGCTTGAGTCAGACGGATGTGTGTAAGATGTATGAAATTATTATTATTATTTAATCTCCATGAAAGAGATGCTTTATTTAACGATACTAAACGTTATTTTCATATGGAAATAAGATCTGAAGTAACGGAGAATATTGTCACAATAAAAAATCTAAAGATAGAAGGAAAATGTTTTTATTTTTATAAAATAATTAAATTTTACAGTTGTAAGCTAAATAAAACGTAACATAGAATGTATACGATGAATAAAAAATATAATTAGGAAATATCAGTAACTTTATAAAGATCTTGCATATTTATTTCTTGATTATAGATTTAAAAGTTACGTAGGCCTTGCATTCAGCGTTTCCTTTACTAACACACAATAATATATTAAGATACTTAACTATCCGCGTAATAAGCCCGGCAAAATAAGCATTATAAGTAGGCTACAATTATAATTAGAAAGTAGCCTCCAGCTGTTCATTTACACGGTTCTTGTGTTATTGTTATTTAATGTTTGATGTTTCTAGTTGTTAAACAGTAATTACTCTCAAGATGTGTACTGTTTATATATATTGTTTGTACTGTTTACTCGTATGTTATTAACATGTTGTTCTTTACATGTTGCAAATAAGAAAATGATCATATTAATGTCATAGTGTGTAATAATTTACCTAATTAATTCATGTAAAATACAAGTTGTTCTAATGAAAAACTTCACTTTTTCATCAAGATTTCAAAGTTTATGCAGCTTATTCAGCAGACGATGGCTTATTCTATTATAACATTGTAATTGTTTATTAGATCCTACTGACTGCTTTTGTCTTTAGCTAAATTATCTTTTGAAAAGTTAACAAAAACATCCAAATCATAATAAATTAATAAGAAGCAAAATTAAAATACAAAAATTGTTGTATAGCTTAGACTACTCATAGACTGAAAGCCATACTGACACACATACGCACATATTGAACAAACGATGAATAGAATAAGGCTAAGTAGTGTAAACTAGCATCAAAAAATACTTGTAATTCATAGGCTACCCTATTTCAGTAGGCAGGGATGGAGGAGATCACCATATTTATTCTTTCTGTTACGGTGTATGACAAAATGCTTTGTAAAGAGATTTGATTCAATAAATTATTCTTAGTATTTTCTCAACATTAAGGTGAAAACCATCTTATAAGTAAAATACGTCGCTTTTAATTAAATTGTATCTATACATATTATGAAATACTAATAATTGTATCATCAAAAAAAATATCTAAGAAATAACAAAAACTTCATTAACTACTAAAAACGAAGAGATGGACTTAGTGAAAGAGGATAGCTGAGGCTATAAACGGAGTGGTATAGAGGGAGTTTTCTTCTTCTATTCTCCTGAATGGAAGAAGAAAACTCATTGCGTTGACCGTAAACAAATTTGAAAAGAGGATAAGAAGTTTATAAAATATTATGTTTTATCATCATTTACATTGTTTTAGTCAATTTGTAACAAAAATAAAGACTCTTGCGAGGATGGGTCGGATGCATTGAATATTATCGGTCTAACCATAATTTCTAAGACAAAAACTTTACAATGTACCTACAACAGACATATAATAGAAAATAGTTATTGGGGATATTGGTGCTAATTTTGTTGTTTGAAAACTCTCTAAACTAAACTAAAAATCACTAAAAATTAGTTTAGTCCTGTCAAGTACTACTTTTTCAGAATTCGAAACGTTATTTGACAGGACTAAACAAATTTTTAGTGATTTTAAGTTTAGTTTAGAGAGTTTTCGGACAACAGAATTAGCACCATATTGTCCGTTTATGTTTAAAGTGCAATGTGTTCATAAAATTTTGTATATATACTTTGTTTACACAATATTTCCATTTCCTTGTCTTTATATGTTTTTCTCACAATGACTATTGCCAATAGGTAGTTGAAATAACCAATTCTAATACCTATATAAACTGCCTAAAATATCTCATGTATAATAAACTTAAAAAAATGCTTGATTTTATTCAAATTAAAGGAGGGAAAAAATCATAATATAATGAACACGTGTAAAGCAAGTTTCAAACAGTTTCTTAAAACGGTCAAAAACACATTCAAATCAATATAATAATATAATAAAAGCAAACAGCCGGCTATTCAAGTGATGGGGATGAAAATTTTTGGTGGATGGTGGAAAATTGCGGCTGGCATTAGTCCGAACAATGATGACTTTAAAATACTTTTTTATAATACACTTTCTGAAGGACTCCATAGTTAAGCCACCTGTCTTCTCCATTCTACAATATAGCTGACAGACCATCGAGGTCACAAACCACTGAGTATGTCGTGTTAAACGTGCATTTGATCGATTTCTGATTGGGAAATAATATTGCAGATTGTTAGTGACTTGCAATACTAAAAAGTTCACGCTTACCGATATTAACACTTTTGAATGGACCGTAAATCCGTCTGATATTCTCGCAACAAAGCTAATGACAAGCTAACAGCTGGTGACTTGATTACCTACTTAGATTATGTAAAAAAGGTTATTGATATTTGCAGACAATCTAATCGTTAACATATTTTTTTTACCATATTATTATTTATATGGTATACGAGTAGTAGGTAGTACTTTAATAGTCTACTGCTGGACATAGGCCTCTCCACTCATCCACGGATGGCGTAGCGGTTTAAGCGGTCGCCACGCCGCTTCCTACTGCGCTGAGTGTTGTGGGTTCAATTACCACATAGAACACTACTTTGTGTGATCCACAATTTTTCGTTCTGAGTCTGGGTGTTCTTTGTTTCCGTTTCATGTATGTTTTTAAAGTCCCCTGCGACACAAGATATATATTCCTAATGCGGGAGTTGGCAAAAAAAATAATAGGCCTCTCCTTACAATGTACGACGCTGGCGAAACGGGTTGGTATATGGTGTTTCAAGTTTTCCTTCTCTTTGCATTGCTATTGGTATTAGTTTTATTATGTAGTTTGCTCCCTGGGTGACACTCTGTATTCTTAATCCGTCACCACACGGACAATCGCCGCCCATGGACACCGCCGTGGCATCATTCCGGTCGAAC